GTTAGTTAGTTAGTTAGTTAGTTAGTTAGTTAGTTAGTTAGTTAGTTAGTTAGTTAGTTAGTTAGTAGTTAGTTAGTTAGTTAGTTAGTTAGTTAGTTAGTTAGTTAGTTAGTTAGTTAGTTAGTTAGTTAGTTAGTTAGTTAGTTAGTTAGTTAGTAGTTAGTTAGTTAGTTAGTTAGTTAGTTAGTTAGTTAGTTAGTTAGTTAGTTAGTTAGTTAGTTAGTTAGTTAGTTAGAAAGGAGGATGTATGTTTTATCAAATCCAAAGAAATACGCCTAGTTCCCCATCGGGCCTGTTGTGCGCTCTCTTACAGACTGTTGAAGGAATCGAACCCCTTACCTTCGGTCTGACAGACTTACTCAACTACTTACTTGTACTACATTTTCAATTTTGTTAAATTTGTTTGGTCGTGATAATGGAATATTTTCCAATCTAAAGAGAAGGTGATGACTAAGACATCTATTTAAAGATTTTTTTGCCACCAATCGAACTTCAAATCAAAATTCTCTAACCATAACCTTCAAATCTACTTAAATTTAAATTAAGTTCATTAAATTCAACTATTTTTTAAAAAACTTTAAGGAATTGTTTTAAAATTCTAATCTTGAAACTAAAAACAAGAGATAATTCTTGTTGTAGTCATATTAATCGATTAACCAGTTACTCAATTCCAATTTGCAACTGTTTATTTAATTCTCTCTTTCTAAGGCATAATAACAACTGGGATGACAGTAAGAAAGAAGCAAAAAACAACAGCATAAACAATAACAAATACACTTGAGAGTTGCCAATATATAAATAATTAATAAAACAGCATGTTGCTGTTTAATTTTGTTTTTTTTTTTTTGCTTTTTATTAAGTATTAGCAGAATCTCTCTGCTGCTCTCCCTGGTTTTTTTTGTTGCCTAAATAAATAATTATTATTTTTTTAAATACTATAAATAAAAAAAGTAAAAAAAATAATACTAAAACTGAATTTTCAATTTCAAGCCAAAAAGGTTTATTGGCAATAAATGTTAACTTTTTTTACCAGTATTAATGTAACCTTCGTTCATACCACACAAAAAAAAGTTAAAAAAAAGATTGTGAATTTTTATTTAATTTTGTTTTCTTATATTATTATTTATTATTTCAATCTCGAGACAATTTTTAGTCGTGTCTATATATTCAAACATTAATTTTATTTAATACTGTTTTCTTAATACTGTATATTATTTAACTTTAAAAATAAAAAAATAAAACTCATTAAAAAAAATTGTTGCTGTTTAGTTAAAATCTTGTCTCAATAACAACAAGAGCGCCTAACAAGTTCGGCAACTTGTTTTTTTATACAATTTTCTTAAAATTCTTGAAAACGTTAAAACACATTTGAAACAAAAAAATATTGTGTAAATTTTTTTTTATAAAAGTTTTAAAAAATTGTTTACAAATTAAGCAAAAAATAAAATATGTTACCCTTGCCTCGACGTCATCAACAGCTGTTGCAGGAGGCTTTTGGTCGTGAATCTCCTGCCAGCATGGAAGAATATAATATACATGGTGGCACCATGTTAGAAAATGGTTTTGGAGGTGATTTAAACTCCTCAGCCAGTAATTTGGAAAATATGTCTCTAATGGACAAAGTACCACCGTCTTTGCGTATTTTAAGGTGAAAAAACACAAAGAAAATTTTAAATTAAAATATTATTATAATTTTAAATTAAAGGTGCGTCTTTTTTTTAGCCTTCTCCTAACAACAAACAAACAAACTTACACTTCGTTTATATCTTAATAGTTTTATAATGTCAATATTATTAAAATTATTATTGTGTGTTCGTTCGTTCAATTTCATTGTTCACCTTAATTACGTGTTAGATTTTATAAAAATATAAAATATACTCATACCAATGTATGCAAATTTGTTGTTTAGTGTTGAAATTCTTAAATTTAAAATATAAATAAATAAATTTTGTGTATAAACACTATAATTGCATTGTTAATAGCAACATTTTTGTACTAAAAGTTTAAAGTCGAACTCTAAATTTAAAGCAAAGACTTTGGTTGCTTTTGCTTACAATTTTTAAGGGTTTTAGAATAATTTAAAACATGGTCCCAAACGACCCGAGCATCAGACGACAAAACGAACTCTAGGCAGTTCCAATACTTTCACAATTTCTTGGTTTGTGTTGGTTATTTCTACTATAGACTAGACTATAGACTGGACTATAGACCGGACTATAGAATGAACTATGGATTAGACTATAGACTAGACTATAGACTAAACTATAGACTAAACTATAGACTAGACTATACACTGGACTATAGACTAGACTATAGACTAGACTATAGACTGGAGTATAGACTAGACTATACACTAGACTATACACTAGACTATAGACTGGACTATAGACTAGACTATAGACTAGACTATAGACTAGACTCTAGACTAGACCTTAGACTAGACTATACACTAGACTATACACTAGACTATAGACTAGACTATAGACTAGACTATAGACTGGACTATATACTAGACTATAGACTAGACTATAGACCAGACTATAGACTAGACTATAGACCAGACTATAGACTAGACTATAGACCAGACTATAGACTAGACTATAGACTAGACTATAGACTAGACTATAGACCAGACTATAGGCTAGACTATAGACTAGACTATAGACTAGACTATAGACTGGACTATAGACTAGACTATAGACTAGACTCTAAACTAGACTATAGACTAGACTATAGACTAGACTATAGACTAGACTGTAGACTAGACTATAGGCTAGACTATATACTAGACTATAGACTAGACTATAGACTAGACTATAGACCAGACTATAGACTAGACTATAGACTAGACTATAGACTAGACTATAGACTAGACTAGACTAGACTATAGACTAGACTATAGACTAGACTATAGACTAGACTATAGACTAGACTATAGACTAGACTATAGACTAGACTATAGACTAGACTATAGACTAGACTATAGACTAGACTATAGACTAGACTATAGACTAGACTATAGACTAGACTATATACTAGACTATAGACTAGACTATAGACTAGACTATAGACTAGACTATAGACTAGACTATAGACTAGACTATAGACTAGACTATAGACTAGACTATAGACTAGACTATAGACTAGACTATAGACTAGACTATAGACTAGACTATAGACTAGACTATAGACTAGACTATAGACTAGACTATAGACTAGACTATAGACTAGACTATAGACTAGACTATAGACTAGACTATAGACTAGACTATAGACTAGACTATAGACTAGACTATAGACTAGACTATAGACTAGACTAGACTATAGACTAGACTATAGACTAGACTATAGACTAGACTATAGACTAGACTATAGACTAGACTATAGACTAGACTATAGACTAGACTATAGACTAGACTATAGACTAGACTATAGACTAGACTATAGACTAGACTATAGACTAGACTAGACTAGACTATAGACTAGACTATAGACTAGACTATAGACTAGACTATAGACTAGACTATAGACTAGACTATAGACTAGACTATAGACTAGACTATAGACTAGACTATAGACTAGACTATAGACTAGACTATAGACTAGACTATAGACTAGACTATAGACTAGACTATAGACTAGACTATAGACTAGACTATAGACTAGACTATAGACTAGACTATAGACTAGACTATAGACTAGACTATAGACTAGACTATAGACTAGACTATAGACTAGACTATAGACTAGACTATAGACTAGACTATAGACTAGACTATAGACTAGACTATAGACTAGACTATAGACTAGACTATAGACTAGACTATAGACTAGACTATAGACTAGACTATAGACTAGACTATAGACTAGACTATAGACTAGACTATAGACTAGACTATAGACTAGACTATAGACTAGACTATAGACTAGACTATAGACTAGACTATAGACTAGACTATAGACTAGACTATAGACTAGACTATAGACTAGACAATAGACTAGACTATAGACTAGACAATAGACTAAACTATAGACTAGACTATAGACTAGACTATAGACTAGACTATAGACTAGACAATAGACTAGACTATAGACTAGACAATAGACCAGACTATAGACTAGACTATAGACTAGACTATAGACTAGACAATAGACTAGACTATAGACTAGACTATAGACTAGACTATAGACTAGACTATAGACTAGACTATAGACTAGACTATAGACTAGACTATAGACTAGACTATAGACTAGACTATAGACTAGACTATAGACTAGACTATAGACTGACTAGACTATAGACTGACTAGACTATAGACTTGACTATAGACTGACTAGACTATAGATTAGACTATTGTGTGTTAATTTTAAAATATAGTAAAGAATTTCGATTTTGTTTTAAATATTAAATTTTGAACTAAATTTGCAAATTTGTACAAAATTTGCAAATTTGTAAAAAATTTTAAATTTGGTACTAATTTTTCAATTTGGTACTAAATAAGACCCAGTAGTCGTTTCAATACTACATGATACCTGTAATGTAATTGATTTAATTATCAACATCATTAAATAAATTAATTAAGTAATCGATTTAAACAACTATTTTAAGAAATGTATTTGTTATAAATTTAACCAAAAAATACACAACCGAAGGCTTTCAAAAGAGTAATTATGCCGATTGTAATTGATTTAGTTTTTATTTAAATTACCCACATTAAATTACATGTAAATGTTTAATAAATCTTAAAAGTTTCAATAACAACAAAAAATGTTTAAATATTAATTACTCATCATAAAGGAAATGTATTAAATTAAATTAACAACAATAATCCGACTGCCACTTGAAAATCAATCATTTTAAATAAAAGACCCTTTAAGGCAAATTTTAAATCAAAAACCAAATAAAATCATTAATTATGAAAGATTGTTTTAATGATTTACAGACTCTTAAAAGACTTTAATTTTTAATCAAACAAATTTTGTTTTTTTTTCTTCCTCAGGCGCACACGAAGTTTAAATGCCCCCTCACCTTTTCAACAATTTGGACCATGTGGACGTATAATGAAAAATCCGGCCATGGTTATGCAAATACAAGACCCTGCCAGTCAGCGTCTTACCTGGTACAAACCCCCGCTAACGGTATTGGTTATAAAAAAAGTACGTGACTCTATGGTGCTGGCACCATTTGTACAATTAGTTGAATGGTTGGTACAAGAAAAACACATGGTTGTGTGGGTGGAATCAGCCGTCTTAGATGACCCACTCTTACAAGAAGATAAGAAATTTCAATCGGTTAAGGAAAAATTGGTAACATTCAAGTAAGTTTTCATTTATAAATTAATATTTTTGAAAAAAAAAACTAATTTGTGATTATTGTTTTTTTTTAACAGAGATGGTCGTGATGATTTAACAGATCGCATAGATTTCATTGTTTGCTTGGGTGGTGATGGTACTCTTCTATATGCCTCTCTTTTGTTCCAACAATCTGTGCCGCCCGTCATGGCCTTCCATTTGGGCTCTTTGGGTTTTTTGACACCATTCCAGTTTGATAATTTTCAAGAACAAGTTACAAATGTTTTAGAAGGTCATGCCGCTTTAACATTGCGCAGCCGTTTGCGTTGCGTTATCTACAGAAAGACAGATCGTCGTAAAGATTCCTCCGAACTGACGCCACAATTGAATTGCAGCATGTCGGCGGACAGTGGTGTATCAATGGATTCCTGCTCGGGTATACCAACGGTAGGCAAAGGTTGTTCTAGAACACCTTCCACAAATATATTGGTAGGTTGTTTTAAGTTTGCATATAAAATGGTATTCTAATGGGTTTTTGTTGTTTTTAAAGGTTCTCAACGAAGTTGTTATTGATCGTGGCCCTTCCCCCTATCTGAGTAACATTGATTTATTTTTGGATGGCAAGTATATTACTTCTGTTCAGGGTGATGGCTTAATTGTTTCCACACCCACTGGCAGTACAGCATATGCTGTGGCAGCTGGTGCCTCTATGATTCATCCATCTGTACCCGCGATAATGGTCACACCCATTTGTCCACATTCTTTAAGTTTTCGTCCGATTGTTGTACCTGCAGGAGTTGAACTGAAGGTTGGTTGATTTCCTTTCTTAGCAAAAATTTTAAAACTTGTACTAAGTTTCTAATTTTGTACTAAAATTTCCAAATTGTACTAAATTTTCCGGTTTTGTACTAAATTTTCAATTTGTACTAAATCATCAATTTGTACTAAATTTTCAAATTTGTTCTAAATTTCTAATTTTGTTCAAATTTTTTTATTTTGTACTAAATTTTTTGTTCAAAATTTTTTTAGTACTAAATTTAAAATTTTGTACTAAATTTTCAAATTTGTACTCAATTTCGTACTATATTTTAAAATTCGTACTAAATTTTCAAATGTTTAGAAAATTTAAGTTCTGTACTAAATTTTCAATTAAAAAATTTGCATTAAACTTTTAATTTAGTACTTAATTCAAAATTTAGTACTAAATTTATAATTTTGTGCTAAATTTTTTATTTTGTACTAAATTTTTAGATTTTTTCTAATTTTTAAAATTTTGTACTAAATTTATAATTTTGTACTAAATTTACAATTTTGTACTAAATTTTGAATTTTGCACTAAATTTACAATTTTGTACTAAAAGTAGAATTTTGCACTAAATTTTCAAATTCGTACTAAATTTACAAATTTGTACTAAATTTTCAATGTTGCACTTAATTCTCAATTTTGTATTAAATTATAAATTTTGCACTATATTTTATTTTCATGCTAAATTTTTGTACTAAAATTTAAATTTCGTACTAAATTTTTAAATTCCTACTAAATGTTGATTTTGTACTAAATTTTAATTTTTCACTAAATTTTAATTTTGTACTAAATTTTAATTTTGTAATAAATTTTTAATTTGTACTAAATTTTAAAATTTGTACTAAATTTAAAATTTTGTTTTAAATTCTCAATATTTTACGAAATTTCCGAATTTGTAGTAGTTTTTAAATTTTGTGCTAAATTGTCTATTTTGTTCTAAATTTTATTTTCGTTCTAAATTTCAATTCTGTACTAATTTTCAATTATGTACTAGTTGTTCAATTTTGTACTAAATTTATACAAAATCTTAAGTTTTTACTAATTTATTTAGTACTAATTTTTCAATTTTGTTTTAAATTTTCAATTTAGTACAACATTTTTATTTTTACTAATTTGTTAATTTTGTACTAAATTTTCTTTTTTGCTCTAAATTTTATTTTAGTACAAAATTTCAATTCTGTACTAAATTTTAAATTTTGTACTACTATTTGTACAACATTTTTTTGTACTAAATCTTCAATCTTGTACTAAATTTAATTTTCTTGCTAAATTACAATTTTGTTCTAAATTTTTAACTTTATACTGAATTTTTAATTTAGTACAATTTTTAATTTAGTACTAAATGTTCAATTTAGAATAAAAATTTTCCATTTTTTTAATTTAACTAAATGTACAAAATTTTCCATTTAGTACTAAAATTTTCCATTTAGTACTAAATTTTATATTTAGTACTAAAATTTTCCATTTAGTACTTAATTTTCAATTTTGTTCCATATTATCTATTTCGTTTTTCCTAACTCTTCCCTTTTTAACTCTTTTCCTCCAGATTTCTGTATCACCCGACAGCCGTAACACCTCCTGGGTATCCTTCGATGGTCGCAATCGACAAGAACTCTTCCATGGAGATAGTTTAAGAGTGACCACCTCCATTTATCCGGTGCCCAGTATATGTGCTCAAGATCAAATATCCGATTGGTTTGATTCGTTGGCCGAATGTTTGCACTGGAATGTGCGCAAAAAGCAAAAGTGTTTAGATGAACTGTCGGACTTGACCGCTTCAGGTTCGGAGGATACTCTAGATGAGCTGGAAAGAGGCTCCGATTCTTTGTTAGATAGTTAAACAAAAACACAATAATAAACATAATTGTTAAACAATTAAATTTAAACAAAAGAAAAAAAACACTATTATAATCATAAAATACATAAAATTTCATTAAAACAACTACAATATGTTTAAGGCAAACATTTAAAAACAAAAATATATATAGAAAACAAGCTGCAATACTAAATAAGCTTCAGTTGGTGTTAATAGGTATAAAATAAATTAAATTAATTAAAACTAAACTAAAAAGCTTAAATTACTAATAAATGAAAAAAAGCTTATAAAAACAAAGAAAAAGAAATCGTCTTAACTGTAATTGGTCTTAGAAAGCAATGATGTATTATGTTAGAGAATAGCGTTAAATTGTAATAATGTTTAATTGTTGCCAATTAGAAATATTTAAACAGAAAACATTTGTAATGAAAGTGTAAACGATAAAAAATGAACAAACATTATTAGTAAAATCTTTACAGCTCAAATTTGTTTTTTTTTTTTGCTTAATTTTTTTTTTGTTACAAACTGTTTTAAACATTTTGTGTTTAGTTTAATTTATTACTATTTAATTTAAAAAAAATCTAACTAATTATTGTTTAATGGGTTTTTTTGTTACAACACACACGCCCTCTAAGAAATAGGCAAAATAAAATATGAAAGACATAAAAGAAATTTTGTTTAAAAATTATTATTCCAAAGTTTGTTTTATAATTAAGCCGGCTGTTTAAAGAGAATTTTCATTTTTGGTTAAAATTTTCGTACTATATTTTAAAATTCGTACTAAATTTTCAAATGTTTAGAAAATTTAAGTTCTGTACTAAATTTTCAATTAAAAAATTTGCATTAAACTTTTAATTTAGTACTTAATTCAAAATTTAGTACTAAATTTATAATTTTGTGCTAAATTTTTTATTTTGTACTAAATTTTTAGATTTTTTCTAATTTTTAAAATTTTGTACTAAATTTATAATTTTGTACTAAATTTACAATTTTGTACTAAATTTTGAATTTTGCACTAAATTTACAATTTTGTACTAAAAGTAGAATTTTGCACTAAATTTTCAAATTCGTACTAAATTTACAAATTTGTACTAAATTTTCAATGTTGCACTTAATTCTCAATTTTGTATTAAATTATAAATTTTGCACTATATTTTATTTTCATGCTAAATTTTTGTACTAAAATTTAAATTTCGTACTAAATTTTTAAATTCCTACTAAATGTTGATTTTGTACTAAATTTTAATTTTTCACTAAATTTTAATTTTGTACTAAATTTTAATTTTGTAATAAATTTTTAATTTGTACTAAATTTTAAAATTTGTACTAAATTTAAAATTTTGTTTTAAATTCTCAATATTTTACGAAATTTCCGAATTTGTAGTAGTTTTTAAATTTTGTGCTAAATTGTCTATTTTGTTCTAAATTTTATTTTCGTTCTAAATTTCAATTCTGTACTAATTTTCAATTATGTACTAGTTGTTCAATTTTGTACTAAATTTATACAAAATCTTAAGTTTTTACTAATTTATTTAGTACTAATTTTTCAATTTTGTTTTAAATTTTCAATTTAGTACAACATTTTTATTTTTACTAATTTGTTAATTTTGTACTAAATTTTCTTTTTTGCTCTAAATTTTATTTTAGTACAAAATTTCAATTCTGTACTAAATTTTAAATTTTGTACTACTATTTGTACAACATTTTTTTGTACTAAATCTTCAATCTTGTACTAAATTTAATTTTCTTGCTAAATTACAATTTTGTTCTAAATTTTTAACTTTATACTGAATTTTTAATTTAGTACAATTTTTAATTTAGTACTAAATGTTCAATTTAGAATAAAAATTTTCCATTTTTTTAATTTAACTAAATGTACAAAATTTTCCATTTAGTACTAAAATTTTCCATTTAGTACTAAATTTTATATTTAGTACTAAAATTTTCCATTTAGTACTTAATTTTCAATTTTGTTCCATATTATCTATTTCGTTTTTCCTAACTCTTCCCTTTTTAACTCTTTTCCTCCAGATTTCTGTATCACCCGACAGCCGTAACACCTCCTGGGTATCCTTCGATGGTCGCAATCGACAAGAACTCTTCCATGGAGATAGTTTAAGAGTGACCACCTCCATTTATCCGGTGCCCAGTATATGTGCTCAAGATCAAATATCCGATTGGTTTGATTCGTTGGCCGAATGTTTGCACTGGAATGTGCGCAAAAAGCAAAAGTGTTTAGATGAACTGTCGGACTTGACCGCTTCAGGTTCGGAGGATACTCTAGATGAGCTGGAAAGAGGCTCCGATTCTTTGTTAGATAGTTAAACAAAAACACAATAATAAACATAATTGTTAAACAATTAAATTTAAACAAAAGAAAAAAAACACTATTATAATCATAAAATACATAAAATTTCATTAAAACAACTACAATATGTTTAAGGCAAACATTTAAAAACAAAAATATATATAGAAAACAAGCTGCAATACTAAATAAGCTTCAGTTGGTGTTAATAGGTATAAAATAAATTAAATTAATTAAAACTAAACTAAAAAGCTTAAATTACTAATAAATGAAAAAAAGCTTATAAAAACAAAGAAAAAGAAATCGTCTTAACTGTAATTGGTCTTAGAAAGCAATGATGTATTATGTTAGAGAATAGCGTTAAATTGTAATAATGTTTAATTGTTGCCAATTAGAAATATTTAAACAGAAAACATTTGTAATGAAAGTGTAAACGATAAAAAATGAACAAACATTATTAGTAAAATCTTTACAGCTCAAATTTGTTTTTTTTTTTTGCTTAATTTTTTTTTTGTTACAAACTGTTTTAAACATTTTGTGTTTAGTTTAATTTATTACTATTTAATTTAAAAAAAATCTAACTAATTATTGTTTAATGGGTTTTTTTGTTACAACACACACGCCCTCTAAGAAATAGGCAAAATAAAATATGAAAGACATAAAAGAAATTTTGTTTAAAAATTATTATTCCAAAGTTTGTTTTATAATTAAGCCGGCTGTTTAAAGAGAATTTTCATTTTTGGTTAAAATTTTTCAGTTTTGTTCTAAAAATCTTTGGCTGATTTGTAATAGTTGTCTTGTGTATACTTTTCAATAAGATTTCTTTAGTTTTAATATTCATTGATACACACACACCTACACACTCTACTTAAAACTACAAAAACAATAAAATATTTTTTTTATATGTATAAATATTAATCGTTAAATAATAAATATTGTATTCAAATTTACTTAGGTCCTGTTTTTCTACTAAGTTTTACAATTTTTTTAAAAAGTTAAAAAATAATAAAAAAAATACTCTTGTTTATAAAAAAAAACTGAAAATTGTGTTTGTTTTCTTTTAAAAAGAGTTTTTTTGTATTAAAAATGGGATTAACGGTGACTAAATGTCTCAAATGTTTAAATACTACTCCTGGCCACTCTAGTTCCCATAAAAGCTTTTTCTTCAAACAACTAAGCCTTAAAGTATGCTTTAATTTGTTATTTTATTACTAAACAGTGGTTCTTAATCTTTCGTACTTTTCTTTAACATGTGAAGCCAGAGAAAAAAATATACTAAACCATACTTTTCGCAGTATTTGTGAAATTGAAATGAAAGGTTTAAGGTTTAAGAATCTCTTTTTATTATTAAACATTAGTAAACACTTACCATTCAAATTGTATTTAAGACTTTTCCATCCAATAAAGTACCAATGACACTTAACACTATTAACCACTTATAGTGGAGATTTCAACTGGTTTTCCTGTAAGTAGAAACAGAAAAGTAAAGGAATTAATTGATTTGTAAATTAAAATAATTATATTACACAGAAAGCGTTTCTCTAATTCTAGACTAGACTATAGACTAGACTATAGACTAGACTATAGACTAGACTATAGACTAGACTATAGACTAGACTATAGACTAGACTATAGACTAGACTATAGACTAGACTATAGCCTAGACTATAGACTAGACTATAGACTAGACTATAGACTAGACTATAGACTAGACTATAGACTAGACTATAGACTAGACTATAGACTAGACTATAGACTAGACTATAGACTAGACTATAGACTAGACTATAGACTAGACTATAGACTAGACTATAGACTAGACTATAGACTAGACTATAGACTAGACTATAGACTAGACTATAGACTAGACTATAGACTAGACTATAGACTAGACTATAGACTAGACTATAGACTAGACTATAGACTAGACTATAGACTAGACTATAGACTAGACTATAGACTAGACTATAGACTAGACTATAGACTAGACTATAGACTAGACTATACTAGACTATAGACTAGACTATACTAGACTATAGACTAGACTATAGACTAGACTATAGACTAGACTATAGGCTAGACTATAGGCTAGACTATAGACTAGACTATAGACTAGACTATAGGCTAGACTATAGACTAGACTATAGACTAGACTATAGACTACACTGTAGAGTAGACTATAGACTAGACTATAGGCTAGACTATAGGCTAGACTATAGACCATAGACAAGACTATAAACTAGTCTAGACCATAAACTAGACTAAACTATGGACTATGGTATTGATAAGACTACAGACTAGACTATAGTCCAGTCTATGAACTATAGCTCACACTATAGACTATAGTCCTGAGTATAGACCAGACTATAGTCCATACTATAGACTAGACTATAGTACTATAGTTCAGACTATAGATTAGACTTTAGTCCAGAATATTGACCAGACTAGTCTATAGTCCGATCTAGACTATAGTCCGATATCGTCGATAGTACATAGTTCATAGTATAGACTAGACTATAGTCCTGACTATTTACCAGCTATAGTCCAGACTATAAACTACACTATAGCCCTGATTATACTTAGTTCAAATTAAAGATTATCCCGGAGTGTAGGCTATAGTATTAATTTTAGTCAAAGGAAATAATACCTTATTTTATATTTCTACTTTACAAACTAACATCCGTAATACACATGCAAGGATTAAATACATATTTGCAATAATTCATAGTATTACATAGTTAGTACTATAAGCAGCAACTATCATGTTCTAGTAACAAACTCCAAAAAAAGCACAAATGTAAAACAATAAATCATTCTTCTACAACCCAACATAAAAGGCAAAAAAAAAATCATAAAATTAAATCTTAAATCTACTTAAGAAACACACATATATATAAATATTACACACAAAAGACAATAAAAACACACGCATACTAAAACAAATCTAAATATGTTTCCGTTTCCTGTTCTAACTACATAGAGTGTCAGTTAGTATGTTTTGAGCCAAATGATTTTCTACATGATAAGCTGCTGCTACTTTTTCTTAAATTACTTACAATTTATAACCGGAAAAAAGTAGAAAAAAATTTAACACCTCATCAAATCTATTCAACACATTAACACATCCTTGAAGAAAAAGGAAACAAAAAAAAAAATAATCAACTAGAAAATGGAAAACAATAAGATCTATAAAATTTAATGGTCATGTTAATGATGTGTGTGCGTAGACATTTTCAGCATTTTTCTACTCAACAAGTGGATTTGCTTTTTTATTAGCAAAATTTATTTTCAACAACAACAACTACAGCAGCGGCAGCATCCAATTTATTATCCTGTCAACAGTTCCCCTTAGTATTTTATCCTTTTTCCTTGATTGGTGGGATAAATTTCTAAACTATATCACGCCCCCTTTGATGCTGTAGGTTTCGTTAAGGCGCAGGCGTTAGATTTTTATATAAAACATTAACATTTGGAAGGAATATTTAAGAAGAAATACTAATTTTTGTTTTTTCTGTGGTAAATGTTGCAAAATTTATTAAATAGATTTAATAGTTTATACTTTGTTTATAGTTAAATTACATTAAAAAAATTCAAACAAGTGGTCAGTTTTGAACTTAAATAGATTTGTTAAAATAATAGAGTTAATTTGTTGAAAAATTTTGTGTTATTTTTTCAATTCTATAGATTCGAAAGTAAAAGAAATTTAGCAAATTTGTTTAACAAAATTTAAAAAATGCCTTTTTCAAGTTGTCTATTCTATAATATGGGCTATTTAGTCTTTAGTCTAGATTATAATTTAGCCTATAATCTAGACTACAGGCTAACAAATGTTCTGATCTATAGTCTGGACAATATTCCAGTCCAGTCTATAATCTGAACTATAGTCTATAGTCTGGCTTATAGCCTGATCTATTGTCTGGGCTATAGTCTGGCCTATAATCTGGACTACAGTCTAGTCTATAGCATGGTCTATAGTCTAGTCTAGTCTGGACTGGAGTATAGTCTAGTCTATAGTCTGGTCCATAGTATAGTCTGGGCTATTGTCTGGTCTATAGTCTGCTGTTTAGTCTGGTCTATAGATAGTCTGGTCTATAATGTAAACTGTAAACTGGACTTTATAGGCTAGTCTATAAACTGGAGTATAGTCTAGTCTATAGGCTGGTCCATATAGTCTTGTTTATAGTCAACACTATAGCCTAATCTATAATCTGGCCTGTAGCCTAGCCTATTTACTGGCTTATAGCCTACTCTAGTCTAGACCATAGTGTATAATGTAGTCTAAAGTCTGGACTATAGTCTAGACCATAGTAGAGTCTATTGTCTGGATTATAGTCCAGTCTATTGTCTGAATTGTAGTACAGTATGTATTCTGAACTATGGTATAGTCTATGGCCTCGACTAAAGTATAATCTATAATCTCGACTATAGTCTAGTCGATAGTCTGGACTGTAGTCTAGACGATAGTCTGGACAATTGTCTAGTCCATAGTCTGGACTATAGTCTAATTTAAAGTCTAAACTATAGACTAGTTTATAGTAAAGTCTATAGTGTAGTCTATAGTCTAGGCTATATTCTAGTCTATAGTATAGTCTATAGTCTGCGCTATAGTCTACTCTAGTATATAGTCTGAACTATATATAGTCTAGTCCATAGTCTGGACTATAGTTTAGTCCATAGTCTGGACTATAGTCTAGTCTATAGTATGGATTATAGTTTAGTCTATAGTATGCACTATAGTCTAGTCTATAGCCTGCACTATAGTTTAGTCTATAGTCTGGCCTATATTCTGTTCTATAGTATGGTCTATAGTTTGTAATATAGTCAATAGTATATAGTCTAGTATATAGTCTAGTCTACAGTCTAGTCTATAGTCTAGTCTTTAGTTTAGGTCTGAACTATATGTAGTCCAGTCCATAGTCTGGACTTTAGTTTAGTCCATAGTCTGGACTATATTCTAGTCTATAGTATGGACTATAGTCTAGTCTATAGTCTGCACTATAGTCTAGTCTATAGTCTGCACTATAGTCTAGTCTATAGCCTGCACTATAGTTTAGTCTATAGTCTGACCTATATTCTGTTCTATAGTATGGTCTATAGTCTGGAATATAATCTGGACTATAGTCTAGTCTGTAGTCTGAACTTTAGTCTAGTCTGTAGTCTGAACTTTAGTCTAGTCTGTAGTCTGAACTTTAGTATAGTCTGTAGTCTGAACTTTAGTCTAGTCTATGGCCAGGACTACAGTCTAGTATAATATAGTCTAAAGTCTGGACTATAGTCTTGTGTATTGCCTCAACTATAGTTTAGTCTATAGTTTGGACTATAGTATAATATATAATCTTGACTATAGTCTAGTCGATATTCTGGATCCAGACTAGCAAATATTCTTGTCTATAGTCTGGACAATATTTTAGTGTAGTCCATAGTGTGGACTATAGTCTACTATAGAGTCTGAACTATAGTCTGAACTAAAGTATAGTATGTTGTCTATACTATACTCTTATAAAATAAAATATTTAGCACATTTTATATTTCGTGTTTAAATATGGAAAATTTGTAATACCTGTATTAAAAAAAATAAGAATATTAAACCGATTTAAATATAAAATTACAAGTTATTAAGTACTTATACTAAAGCTCTTTTCTTCTACTAAAGCTCTTTAAATATATATTCCATATAATTCAAT